ACGCACGTTTCTATAGTTCCTGGTGTACGCACGTTTCTATAGTTCCTTGTGTACGCACGTTTCTATAGTTCCTGGTGTACGCACATTTCTATAGTTCCTGGTGTACGCACGTTTCTATAGTTCCTGGTGTATGAATGTTCTATAGTTCCTGGTCTACGCACGTTTCTATAGTTCCTGGTGTACGAATGTTTCTATAGTTCCTGGTGTACGCACGTTTCTATAGTTCCTGGTGTCCGAATGTTTCTATAGTTCCTGGTGTACGCACGTTTCTATAGTTCCTGGTGTACGCACGTTTCTATAGTTCCTAGTGTATGAATGTTTCTATAGTTCCTGGTGCATGAACGTTTCTATGGTTAGGGTGTACACTTGTGTACACAACATGTCCATTCAGGTCTGCTCCCATCACCACTCTCTCCTCCCTGGGAATACTCTCTATCACTTCATCCAGATCTTTACAAAATGTATCTTTCTCCTCCTCATCACATCCAACCTGTGGAGCATAACCACTGACAACATTTAGCATCAGAGCTTCTACTTCTACCTTCAGACACATCACCCTATCTGACACTCTTTTCACCTCTACTACATTCTTTGCCAACTCCTCCTTCAGGACCACCCCTACTCCATTCCTTTTTCTATCCACACCATGGTAAAACAGTTTGACCCCTGCTCCAATGCTGCGAGCCTTGCTTCCCTTCCACTTGGTCTCTTGGACACATAAAACATCTACCTTCCTTCTCAGCTTCATGTCAGCCAACTCTCTACCTTTGCCTGTCATTGTCCCCACATTTAGAGTTGCAACCCTCAGTCCTGCATTCTTCACTTTTCTCTTCTCCTCTGTCTCCTGACACGTTTCCCTCCTCGTGGTCTTCGACTAACAGTAGCACAATTTCCGCAGGCACCCCGTTTGTCAACAGCACCGGTGGCGGTCGTTGTTAACCCGGGCCTCGACCGATCTGGTGGTTTCACTTTGATGAACTCGCATTATGGTTTTGGCAAAAGTGTTTTACATCGGATGCCATTCCTGACACAACCCTCACCATTTACCCATGCTTGGGACCGGCACAAGAGATACACTGGCTTGTGCTCCCTAGTGGCTGGTTTGAGCTTGAGCCTGTTGAGCTCTGAATTGTCAAAAATAATACCTTCATCCAAACCATCCACATGCCTGCTAGATCCCATCCCAACCAGGCTGCTTAAAGGGGTATTTCCACTAATTAATGTCCACATTTTGGATCTACTTAATTTGTCTTTAATGGATGGTTATGTACCACAGCGCTTTAAGGTTGCTGTAATTAAACCTTTACTTAAGAAGTCTGATCTTGATTCAGAAATTCTGGCCAACTATAGATCTATATCTAATCTAACTTTCATCTCAAAACTTCTAGAGAAAATAGTTGCAGGTCAGTTGCGTGAACATCTACAAAGAAATAATGTGTTTGAAGAGTTTCAGTCAGGGTTTAGAGCTCATCATAGCACAGAAACAGCACTAGTAAAAGTAACTAATGATATTCTCATGGCCTCAGACAATGGACTTGTGTCTCTACTGGTCCTGTTAGACCTCAGTGCTGCATTTGATCCAGTTGATCACAATATTTTACTACAGAGGCTTGAATATGATGTTGGGATTACAGGAACAGCTCTAAAATGGTTTAAATCATATCTATCTGATATAAATAATGAATCTTCATCATACACCAAAGTTAGTCGTGGAGTTCCTCAGGGCTCAGTGCTTGGGCCAATACTCTTTACTTTATATATGCTTCCATTAGGTAAAGTTATTAAACAGCATGGGATAAATTTCCATTGTTATGCTGATGATACACAATTATATTTGTCCATTAAACCCAATGAATCCAATCAGCTACTTAGACTACAAGCGTGTCTTAAAGACATAAAAACCTGGATGACCCTTAATTTTCTCCTGTTGAACAGACAAGACTGAGGTTTTGGTTTTTGGACCTGAGCACCTTAGGAATGAATGTTTCAGTCTTTCTCCCTCCTTAGATGCATTAATCTGTCCTCCAGCTCTAATGTTAAAAATCTTGGTGTTATTTTTGATCAGGACACGTCTTTTATCCCCCACATTAAAAACGTTACTAGAACCTCCTTCTTCCACCTGCGTAATATCACTAACATTAGAAACATCTGATCTAAAGATGATGCAGAAAAACTGCTCCATGCATTTGTCACGTCTAGACTGGACTGTTGCAATGGTTTATTATCTGGGTGTCCAAATACTTATTTAAAACGTCTTCAGTTGATCCAAAATGCTGCTGCCAGAGTCTTAACTGGAGTTACTGGGAGAGGGTAGTAGGATGTTGTTTTCCAACAGAAAGTCGGTGCCAGCAACTCTTCCTCCTCTCTCATCCATGCATGATGTTCATAATGATTTTGTAGATTCTTACAAATACTTGGGAATTTTGGTCGATGCACATGTCTGTTTTAAACCACATGTTGAAAACTTGATAAAGAAGCTGAAATTAAAACGGTTTCTTTTTCAGAAGTAGATCTTTTTTAACTCTGAATGCCAGAAAACACCTTGTAACCTCTACCTTCCTACCGGCCATTGACTATGGTGACATTATTTATATGAATGTTCCTGCCAGCTGCTTGCAGATGTTGGATGCTTTCTATCATGGCGTGCTAAGATTCATAACTGGTTCTAACTACCGTACCCACCACTGCACCCTGTACTCACTGGTCAGTTGGTCATCATTGTCTACACGTAGGCTCTCACACTGATTCATCTTCATCTATAAATCACTCCTTGGTCTGCTACCTTCTTACATCTCCTCCCACATGTCACATTATCAGTGCAGTTACAGCGTGCGCTCTCAGACAATCATTACCTGCAGTGTCCCCTCAGTGGGGACTGACTCTGCAAAAAGGCCTTTTCCTACTCAGCTCCTGCACCTGGAACACCTTGCAACAGGAACTGAAGTTGTCCTCCTTGATTTCTTTAAGGGGCTTCAAATATTTGATAATGTCAATAGAAAAACCAAAGCAAATATGTTCTTGTTTTTAGTATTTCACCCTGTTTTATTGTTTTATACACTACTCTTATTTTAACTGCATTTTACTGTAGTTTATTGTTGTTGTTGTCTGTAGTTTAAATGTTCTGTCTGGAACAGGTCTCTCTTGTAAATGAGTCCTTGTAGCTCAAAGAGGCTAGCCTGTAGAAGTAAAGGTTGAATGAAGGAATGAAGATGGTTTCAGTCGCTGCATGAAAGAGACAGAAAAAATGAAGCGTTGCAGCAACGTCTGGTAATCCTGCAGACTGACGAGGTCAGCAAGTGTTGTAATTAAACTACAGAGGACTGACGAGAAAAACAAGAAACTAAATGTGACAAGACAGCTCATGAATTTATGACATAAAATAACCTGCGGCTGGTCCAGAACCAGATAGAGGAATGGTTCTGAGCTCTCTAACCTTTGGTTTCTTTAGTTTCTTTAGACAGAGTTCCTTGTTGGCCGTTCTCCACGACAGGTTCTCTGACTTCCAGAAAGAACTGAAGCCACTGAGCAGTTCTAAACACAAGGTGGGTTCTGATCCAATAATCCAATTCAAACTTTAACGCTTCTTAACTTGTAGCATTCAGTTATGATTTGATCTAATGTTATGTCAATTTATTTAACAAATAATATCTTCAGATCATCTGCTTTGTTCTGCTTTACTTTTCTGTTAATGGACATGATAATAATGTTGGATAAAATAATTATCCTGTCATCATTAATCAAATAAGCCACTCAGAGGATAACGAGAAGCTTTTTCAGAGTCAGAGTCAGAGTCAGAGTCAGAGTTTCTTTATTGTCATTCGCACCTCATGTGGTACATGTGGTGGAGCGAAATTATGTTCACAGGGTCCCAGTTACATCCAACAATAAAATGTATAAGAAAAACAGTAATAACATCTAAGATATGAACTAAGAAAAACATCAACTAAATATACACTAAGCACTCATAACATAAAACATTGAACATCAGCACAAACATGAACATGAGTCTGTGAGCAGATGTGCACGCATGAACACATCAACATTGAAACAGATCAGCAGCAACATGAAACAGATCAGCAGCAACATGA